CCAGGTAACGTGGCTGCGCTTGTCTAGGCCTCTTGCCAAGCCAGCAAGGGCGTGGAAGGGCTGCGAGCATCATTGGTCATCGGCCCTTGAGAATGAAGAGCGCCCGCTGCACTTCCTGCACATGTGCGGATCCTAGTGCGCATTGAGGCTAGAAGCGCTCGCAGTGAGCGTTTTTCTTCCACCAGGTCACGTGGCTGCGCTTGTCTAGGCCTCTTGCGAAGCCAGCAAGGGCGTGGAAGGGTTGCGAGCATCATTGGTCATCGGCCCTTGAGAATGAAGAGCGCCCGCTGCACTTGTGCGGATCCAAGCGCGTTTTGAGGCTAGAAGCGCTCGTTCTGAGCGTTTTTCTTCTACCAGGTCACGTAGCTGCGCTTGCCTACGCATCTTGCTAAGCTAGCAAGGGCGTGGAAGGGTTGCGAGCATCATTGGTCATCGGCCCTTGAGAATGAAGAGCGCCCGCTGCACTTCCTGGGTTTAGGGTTTAGGGTTTAGGGTTTAGGGTTTAGGGTTTAGGGTTTAGGGTTTAGGGTTTAGGGGTTTAGGGTTTAGGGTTTAGGGTTTATTTTAAAATTAAAAAACCTAGCTGCAGCAACTAGCTTAGCCGCGCCAGAGCTGGCGCGGCTCGGGTTTCCTAAGTGGCGCGAAGTGCGGAGCGTGAGGAGGAGGTGGTGTCGAGGGGTGTTAGAGGGAGGGTGGGGTTGGATCGGGGTGTACAAAAAAGACCCCCGAAGCGCGCGCGATGAAATGCGCGCTTCGGGTGGTCAAAATCGAGAAATTGGGGGGGGGGGGGGGAGGGTAAAAAAAACTAAGTTTGACTTGGCGAGAAAAAAAATTCTCGCCAAGGAACAACTCGCCAGGAGAAGATGCGACTGCGGTTCAGTGCGGTAACGCGACCGTGGCCGCGATTTGCTGCCATTAGCGTGGTGATGGTGTTGCGATGTGTATAAGGGGTGTATAGCGGGAATGAGGGGGGATGTTGCATTGTGTATACTTGGTGCAGCAGTGAGTGGCGGGGAGAAGGCGGGCTTAGGGACAAGGGGGCAGAGGGAGGGACAGTGTGAGAAACGTGTGAGAGACCGTTGTTGGTTCTCGGCCTGAGCTGCGGGGGCAGGCGGGAGGGGCGGGATGCATGAATAGAGATATTATTTTGAGGAGAAAGTGTGAATAGCATGACGTCGGGGGGTGGGGATGCTAGGTGTTGAGAAGCGGGGGGGTTCGGGGGGGGCTGCGCCCCCCCCGATTGTTTTGAAAACAATGCGAGAAGATAGCGGGGAAGGGACGGCAACGATCTGGGGCAAGCACGGTAACAAAGTATAACAGACTCTGCCGACGTCGCTCACGTGGCGCTACCATGGCGTCGGGGGGTGGGATGTCAGGTGTTGAGAAGCCGGGGGGGGGGGGGGGGGGTTTGGGGGGGGCGCAGCCCCAGCAACGAAATGTGACAAGCAAGGCACCAAAGTACAACAGACTCTGCCGACGCCGCTCACGTGGCGCTACACTCCGAGGTATCTCGAGCGTCAACACTCGTGAACGCAGCTCGGACTAGCATGCTCCTTAGCTTAGGTGCTGCACGAAAGCTGAGGAAGGGCTGTTTCGGGCACAGGGTCTCTAGTGCTGCCTTACTCATCTCCGAGCGGAGTAGAGACCTCACCTTTGGGTGTTCGAGATTAGGGTGGTATTCGAGCACAAAAGGCAGCACTCTGCCGTCTCGTTGCTTACCCTTCTCTGATCGTTGCAGGAGTGTATCGCGGTCGCTGTACTGTACCTCATCAAAGATCTGCTGGATGAATTTCGAGTGGTAACCGCGCGCTCGCAGACGCGCTGCGAAGGATGATTTCATCATTTGGAAGCCTACCTCGGATGACTCCCGTAGGAGGTATCGGTATAGCTCACCAATGATGAATCCTCGTTTGCAGTGTCGCGGGTGCGCCGATCGGAAAGGGAAGTACTGATAGACGTTCATCAGTTTCTGGTACACCGAGGTGTCTAGAAAACCGCCTCTCGCATCTTCCCCTCTCGTCGACTCCCACTGCTTACCCTTGGTGAAGGTGATGTCAAGTAGCGTGAACGATGTGGCGCTGATTTCTGTAGTGATGCGGATGCCGTCCATGAGGCTGTTGTAACCTTCTATCCATTGGTGTAGTTCTGCTAGCGATCCGGTCCAGACTACCAGTCCGTCGTCGATATAGCGCCTGTGTAGTAGCACATGCCTCGACAAGGACGGGTACTGCTCTTCCATGCGAGCGTCTAGCCAGCTCATGAAAAGAACTGCATAGATCACTGCTACTGGAGTACCCATGGCTGTACCGCGGATCTGTCGGTAGAACTTCCCATCGAACTGAAGGTGATTCTGTGTCATGACTAGCTCTAGCAGCTCACAACACGCGCTGAGCTGCTTGGCGGTGTCTGTCTCTGGCCAAACTGGATAGCTATGCATGCGTACGAATTTATCTTTCGTTTCCCGCATGGCAGCTAGGCCTTGCTGGAGTGGGATTGATGGGTAGAGGCTCTCAACATCGTATGTGAGGAAAATGGCATGCTCGGGTATTGGAAGGGCACGCAGTGTGTGCAGCAGAGTGATTGAGTCTGGCAGGTGGGCTGGTGCCAAAGCCAGCAGCGGACGCAGATAGTGGTCTAGCACCTGGCTGGCATGCTCAAATATCCAAAGGGTAGAGGAACAGATCGGTCTCCCTTTGACAGGGTCTTTGTGTAATTTAGGCAGCAGATAGAATCTGCAGACTCGAAATTGTGTAGGGTGTATCTCGGTGTCATGCTCGCAGCCCGCTTCTGTGCGAAGTTCAACTCTCGGCTGTAAGATGTACTCGATGGTTTCCTTGGGAAACCTATCTTTGTACCTTGAGCACCAAGTGTTGAGGTCCTCGCACAGGTTGTCCATGGGTACCGTTGCGACTTCCTTGTACGTTTTATTGTCGGATAGTTGTCTGAGCGCCTCGTCTCGATACCACGATGCATCTAACAGGGCGAGACCTAGGTTCTTATCCGCTGGCTTAACCACTACCTTTGGATTCTTCCCCAACTTTTTTAAACACCGCAACGTTTGCTCGTTCATGTTCCTGCGAGCGCGGCGCGTCATCAGTGGGAGGCGGTCGATCACCTTCCTCTCCACCTCAGCGATGTATCGCTCTATAGCAGGGGGAGCAGGGTCGGGCATCCAAAATGGGTTGCGAATACGGAAGCGTGGAGCTGGCTTGTCGGATGAGAACTGTGCGGTGAGCCTCACAGTTCTCGTGAACCTCGAGAGTGCGCTCAAGATAATTTGCTCTGTGGGGGGTGAAGGGGTCGGTATGAATGAGAGCCCTAGGCTCAATCCTTCAAGTTCAGTGCGTGAGAGGGCTAGTGCGGATCTGTTGTGGATGAATTTAGAATTGAGATCATCCTGCAGTATGACCTGAGGTGTTCGAAGGAGACGTTTTTGGGCGGGGGTCAGTGGTTTCGACGTTTGTTTGTTTCTGGGTCTTGAGCGGGGTCGTTTACAGGCGTTTAGAGGGGCGCTCACCTCAGGGCTGGGGCTGCTCCCACCCGCTGTAGACTGCGGTGTGGTGGGCGAGGTGCTGGTGGTTGGGGTGTCAGAGGGTCTCAGTGGACAGTTGGTGGGTTGGTTTGCTGCACGCGGTAGCTTTGAGGTAGCGGTGGATTGTAGGTAGGGGATGTGTGATGGCGTCTCCCAGTGGTTTTGCTGGTGGTTTGAGGTAGGCAGGGTCATGCGGGCGTACCTTTGGGTGAGGCTATTGGTTGTGGAAGTGCGTAGACGAGTAGTGTGGTCCGTGCTGTTTGGGGAGGGGTGGAGGGGGGAAGTCAGCCTAAAAAATACACCGGCAGAGCATGGGCGGCAGAGGTGTTGTTGAGATTAGAATGTGTCCCCGCTCCTTCTGGCTGTCCGATTCTCACAGCGGAATGGGCTGCTTGAAATCCTTGGGTGATCTGCTGGGGAGGGGGAGCAAGAGGCGCATAGGCATATGCTGGTGGTGCGGGTG